ATCTTGCATTAGACCTTTACCAAAATATAACATCCTTGTCTGTCATGAATGCTTTATTCAGACACCATAAGAAAGCCACCTTCCCTTTCTCTGAACTTACTCTTTGTGTAAAATATTTGAGGCAGAAAGTATAGGAAACAGTTTAGTTTGGGGCCCCATTCGGTTTTGATTATGCATACACATACATACCTCTCTTGTAGTAATGCACATATGCTTCTCCAAACTGCACCCGACAACCTCAGAAACCTCAACACACCCCACCTACATCAGGGTACATGTACTCCCATTTAAACTATGGTATGCTCCCTGCCCCTAGTAATAACCAAATGTTTTTAACAGTTTCTACTCAAGTCTATTCTCAACTTATCTGGGTATGAAAGTAGAAGGGCCAATCTGGCTTGAATTGGTTTTGGGTACATGTTTAGATGTAACCATGTCTTCTAGTAATCTCTTATGGAGAATCTCCTACTTACCATTTTATGTCTCTGCATAACTGGGTGGGCATACGATTAAAAACACATGCATTATGGGAAGGGACATGCAGAGAAATGATTATCTAGTCAAATATACCAATTAAAACAGAGAACCACCCAAGTGTACCAGTTAGTAACCAGCTCCTCCTTCTCTTGAACCCCATAAAGGAAGCCTAGAACAATAATCAGGGATCTTGACAGTGTTTCTCTGGATAACCTGCACTGTCTCTCTGCTTCAAAAGAAGTTATCTTGCTGCCTCTGCATATCTGTATGATCCTTGATTTTCAGTTCTTTGGAGAAGAAGCAGAGAGCCTGAAAAGACCTTGGTGAGAACTTCAACCACTGGTAATTTTTTTTCATCCTTTACCTTCCACTTCTCTTGTGTCCTTGTATTTTCAGTTAGTCGCTTATAGATAATATATAGATGACTCCTGTTTGGCTTGATCCAGTCTACCAATCTTTGTCTTTAGAATAACTTAATCCAGTGATATTGTATGTGATTACTAATAAAGAAGGATTACTCCTGACATTTGGCTACTTGTTTCTATTTTTCTTAGTTTTTTTTCAAACCTCCCTTACTGCCTTTTGGATTGACTTATTTTTCTCTGTGTGCTCAGTTTGATTCTCTTCTTTGTATTTTTGTTGTTTTCTTGCTTAACTTGGGGATCATAAGTAACTTGGACTTGAAGCAATTTAACCCGATACCATTCCGTTTCCATGTTATTCAGACCCCAGCCCTGAGTATCTCCTCCCTTGCTGTTTACTGCATTATTATTATTTTTTTTGGTTTTTCGAGACAGGGTTTCTCTGTATTGTTTTGGAGGCTGTTGGTCCAGCCTGGCCTTGAACTCACAGAGATCCGCCTGCCTCTGCCTCCCGAGTGCTGGGATTAAAGGCGTGCACCACCAGCGCCCGGCTTACTGCATTATTATTAATGACTCAGGCTTCATCTTCCTGTTAACACATATTTATACTTTACATTTTAAATCATACAGGGAAAATATAAAATGCAAACCAACTAAAAGTGTAACGATACTAGAATTATATTTATTTATAAAACTACTTTTAATGATTATTTTTTCTTGTGGCTTCAAAATCCTATTCAGTGTCATTTCATTTTAGCCTGAAGGAGTCTTGGTAGCATCCCCAGAAGGACAATCTATCAGCAATGAACTTTAGCTTCTGTTCATCTGGAAATGACTTAGCTGCTTTCCTCTTTCAGGAGTTCATGTTTATCTATGCCCCACAAGCCCCTTTAGTTTCTATGGTCCTTTTTGCTTTCTGTACTTCTGGGTAAATCATATCTTCACATCCTCTGACCACTTCCTTCTTGCTCAAATCTGTTTGTTGCTCAGCCTCTCTAGCAAACTTTTCATCTCCGTGATTATACTGTTTTGATTTGGAGTATGGTTTGCTTTTATAGTTTGTACCTCTAGTTAACAATATCATTGTTTTCATGAATTTTCTCTCTGCTTTTTCCCATGGTTCCCAGTATTTCACTGAACAGGGGGGTAGTTACATTAATATCTTTAAGCAGTAATTCCAATGCCTAGACTTCCTCAAGCGCAGTTATCTGTCAAACTCCTTTTCCTGTTAATGGACATACTTTCCTATTTCTTTTTATGTTGATTTCTACTGCAGACTGGACCTTCTAAGTACATTAGGTGGTAACCCAAAATTTAATTCTCTTAGCCTTCAGAACTGGTGTTTTTTTCTCACTGAGGGCTGGAGCCATCTGAGATTTTTCTAAACTTCCAGTCAAGTGAATACTCCTCATGCTGTAGGGTCAGGGGAGTTTCTGGTGCTGTCTCTGTGGGAACCTAAGATTCTTTAAATAATGTCTGCCTTATAAAAGGGGAAGGACTCTTTTTAAATACTCAATGCATATGCTGTTGGGTCTTAAATAGCTATGAACCCTACAAACTACAATACCAATCTGTCCACTAGTGCAATAGTGGCAAAACTGTCATATGGGTAAACAACTGCTCTTTCTGGTTCACTCCAGAAAAGGGAACTTGTGTTTGGTAAAACTTATGGCTAAGGAAGTCTTAGGTCATAGCTAACCTGTCATGGCACTGAGCTGCCTAATAAAATGGCTGCTCAAGGTGTTAAGAATAAGTGATGCTTGAGTGCTCAGCCCTAAACAGAATGTTTATACTACCCACTTTAAGGCACAGGGATCATCATAGAGTTGAAGAGAGAAAGAATGTAAGAGTCAGGCCACATGGAGAAGGGCTGTGCAATGCTGCCTTCTGTGCTTGGCATAGTCAATGCAGTAATAACTTTATAGTAGCTACCTTCAACTGATCTATATAAGGCTGGACTTAGGATGCTGGAGAGATGGCTCAGCAGTTAAAAACACATGATGCTTTTGCAAAGGACCTAGATTCAGTTCCCAGTACCCACATGGCAGCACTCAAACATTTATAACTAGTTTCAGGGTATCCAATGCTCTCTTCTGTCATCCAAGGGCACCATGTGGCACACAATATACATGCAGGCAAAACACCCATACACATAAAATTAATTCTTTTAAGTTGGGGGTGGAGAATGGGCCTATCAACAGTCATGGATTGGGGAGGGGCTCACAGGGTATGCTGAAGTACTGGCTACGGATGGATTCTGGAAGAGATGTGGCTATTGCCTCCAGTTGTGTGCCCACTGAGAAGCCACTGGTTCAAATGGACAGTTCCAAGTCCATGGTCACACAAATGATCTTGGTTTAACTCAGTGGATCACCAAAATAGAGGGGCATGAATTTGTGAAAGTAACTGGGACGTAGAGAGGGTTACTATTACAATAATCAATACACTTTATACATGTATAAAATTATCAAAGAACAAATTCAATAATTGTTTAAAAAAAGTATAGAGGCACATTCTGGGGGATGAGGGTAGAGGTGTGTCATAAAGGTAGATCTATGACCAGACAGCCTAGTCAATAAGCTGCAGATTCTGTAAGCAACCTTTTCTCAAAAAAAAAAAAATAGAGAGCAATAGAGGAGAAATGTCCAATGTGAACCCTGGCTTCCACACTGAGATGCATACACACACACACACACACACACACACAGAGAGAGAGAGAGAGAGAGAGAGAGAGAGAGAGAGAGAGAGAGAGAGAGAGAGAGAGAGAGAGAGAGAGAGAGAGAAAGCACTTTCTTTCTTCAATTGCTCACTGGTGGCAACCCTTCCTTCAGCAACCAGCTACTTAGAGAAATCTCCTTTTCCTTAAATAAATGAAGCAACAGCATAGTATTTCAAAAAAGGTTTTGAAATAAATTAGAATATTCAGTGAAGGGGTAAGAATTCTGTGGCTTAAGTAGAAAGTAAGTAGGCCAGGGGAACTAGGGTTTCCTAGGTTAAAGCAAACAAAATTGTCTAGGCATTGCATGCAAACAATGCAAGTGTCCAGGAAATACCACAGGATCTAAGAGGCAGATTGTTGTGCTTGGTTAGGGCCCCCTACAGAAGCAGCAGTCTCCAGGGACCACCTGCACAGCTGTCCAATCCCACAGCCACTTTCTAGTTACCTCTGCCCCTTCTTGATCCAGCTGGTCAGGCTACCATTTTAGAGACCCCAATCATTCAGCTTCTGTCACACTCTTCTCTCCAGACACACTTGTTCTAGCTGCTCTAGGATGGGGCATTTCATGAGGAGACAAATGCAAAGGGATAGTAAAAAGGAAGAGTCTGGAACTCCAGGACCAAGAATATAGAAAACCAATACCTAAGATGTGACATGTCTATAGCTTCACAACTGTGTCTTAAAATATAATGTTTCTTCTGAATACTAAAACACCACCATCCATAAAAACCAAAGGGCAAAACTCAAGCTTTGTATTTTATATTTCTTAAAACAAAAGGTGATTTTTCCATTATGATAAACATTTCTTCTATATCAGGAAAAACAATACAAACCTAAGATTTTCCTTAGGGAAAAACAAAAGCACTCTGTGGGGCTGGATAGATGGTTCTTCAGTTAAGCACACTTGCACTATTGGAAAAGATCTAGCTTTGATTCCCAGAACCTACACGGCAAATCAGAAGTAACCCCAGTTCCAGGTGAGTCGATGCCCTCTTCTGACCTTTATGGGCACCAGGTACACACACGTACAAATGAGACCATTAAAGATTGCCAATTTGAGCTAAATTTCCTCTGAAGTCCTAACCCTGTCTTCCACACAGTGACTGGGATTTTTGTGACTCGGATGACATCTTAATCCATGCTAAGAAATGACTAGAAAAGCATGAGTCCCTTTAAGTTCACTATGTTCTCTCCCCTGCATGGATTTAAAACAAAACACCACCACAAAGAAACACAAGAACCAAAAAACAAAAGTCCACTTCTCAACCTTTTACTTCTGTGGCTTCTACTGCCAATTGTTCCCTGGAATTCACTCCTCAGCAATCAGTCTGGTTGTCAGGTAGCCTTAGAAACAACAGTACCTGTCCCCTGTGCCCACTCTGTGACTGTGTCCTCCCGCAGATTCAGAGGAAGGTCATGCATGAATCCCATGAGCTCCTTACCGAGCTGACGTCCAGACTGGGGATTCAAAGTGGCAAAGGGCTCTGAGCTGGCCTCAGGAGCACTTGGCTCCCATGATTCACTGTTCTCAGACATCTCTGAATAGGCATCACCCAGCACTCTGTGAACTGCCACAGGCTCTCCAGTTCCAAGGCCCTTGTCCTCACTGCTTGTATCTGCCACAGCCCTAGTCTCTTCACCCATTTTCTCAGCAAACCATTGCTTGACCTGCTGGGCACTCATCTGGGTCTTGTCACAGAGGGTTTGCAAGTCTTCCTCACACAGCATTTTGTGTGTCATGTAATAATCTTGCAGTAGCTCTCGGTTGCCAGGGGCAATGACAAGCAGACCTGGTGGGAAGTTGCCCCTCTTATAGTCTTCGTACCACTTGAGCTGGCCATTCTTCAGGGCATACCTGCTATCTCCGAACCAGCGTACCACCTCTGGCCGGGGCAGCCCTGTTTGGGCCATAATGGAGTCATAGTCTTGGTTGCTCGGCCACTGTGTCTGAACAAAGAGCTGCCGTAGTAAGTGACGCTGCTGTGCCGTCTTTTTGTAGCTCACTTTACCTGGTGGCTGTTCTGCTAGCTTGTTCAAACCATCTTCCTCAGACTCGCAGACACCCAGCCCTGGAAGCTCATTCTTGCCACTGGCTTCAGTGACCCGCAGGTTCTTGAGGTTGATTTTGATGGGGCTGACCTTCCTCTCTGCCAATGTGTGCCTAAGAAATATCTCAGGAGAGCCATTTTCACCAGGAACCCTCATCTCACTAGCAAACTCTTCATCTCCACCCTCATCCTCAGCACCTTCCTCTTCCTCCTGAGGCACCTGCCCGTCAGCCTTCTTGGTCTCCTCAGAATTCACTTTTTTCCGTCTCTCTGAGAACCAGCCATCAATTTCCCTTCGAGTCATTTTGGTTTCACTTCTTAGGCGGTCCAGCTCTTCTTCAGGGGGAAGTGGGTTTTGTGCAAAGCTGTTCTCCAGGACTCGCAGCTGCTCTGGAGCTCTCTCTTTGTATTTGGTTGGTGTGAAGTCTGGGGTCTGATGCCAAGATTGTCGTTTGGTGGCAGGGTGGCTTGCTAGTGAGGTTGTTGTTGGGATACAGGCCACCTCCGGAACTTTGGATGACAGGGAAAAGGGCACCTCTGGCACAGAATCAATGAGAACAGAGCCATGCTCTCCAGGCATCATGGCCCTGGAGCCCTTCAGGTTCCGGCAGTGATATCTCCGGTCACTGAACCACTTCCGTACCTCTCTGGTACTGAGGCCTGTCACTTTGGTCAGGTGCTCTACTTCACTCTGCCCAGGAAACTGGTTCCGGCAGAAGCTTCCTTTCAGAGCTGACAGCTGTTCATGAGACTTCTTATTTTTGTAGATGTTTGCATCGAGGAAGGCTTGGGACGTTATGCTGGGGCATGCTGTGAGGAGTGACTGGGCTGCATTGACTACCTTCACAGCTGATGTTGTATTTGAACACACAGTGTTAATGGGTGCCACAGTTGGCTTGGGAACAGATGCAGTTGTCAAGGGGAGAGATGAGCTGGATGCTTGTAAACCATTGGTCATCAATGGCTGAGTGACCAGGAGGCCCCCTGCTGTGCCTTCTGGCTGACCCACAACATGACCTGGGAGAGCCGCCTGGATGAGGTGCTGTACATTGCCAGTACTGGCAACAAGGGGGGTGTTTAGAACTGTGATGGTGGGCTGAGGCACAGACTGGATGACTGTATTGAACATCTTTTTCCGGGCATCTTCAATCTCCTCAGGAGACCAGCTGATTCCTTGCTTCAGCCTCTGGGCTGTGAACCAGATTTTAAGCTGTTCTTCTGGATACTTGGTCACCACAGTCAAGTAGCAGAGCTCAGCTTTGGTTGGGTAGGGGAATTTGTGGAAGGAGTTCTTCAGAAAGCTGTTGGAGTCCATAGCTGCATTGTATGTTGGGATGCTGCTCAGGGGGATCATGACTTTCGGAAGAGCCTTGGATGTAGGCAGGGGCTGGTGGGTATGGTGCTGGGAGTGCACTTGGGGCTGCTGCTGCTGGAGGGAGAGGAACTGTGCTATGCCAGCTGGCAGTACTGGCACTGTTCCTATCAGGGGCCCATTGGCAGCATGAGGGGGCTTGGATGCCTGACTGACTGGAGCTGCCCCATTGGCAAAAGTGTGGTCCCCCTCTTTAACCTCTGCCTCCCCAGCCAATGGCTTTGGCAAGGTCTCACCCACAGGCTGATTGGGAGCATTTTCTTTAAGCATATGGATTTTCTTGGCTTCAGCTTTGCCTTTCATTATCTTCATGATTGGTGTCTTGGTGATAATGATTTCAGCCTGCCCATCAATCCCTTCAGTGGCAGACTCGCCTGCTAGGTCAGATGTGCTAGTACTCTCAGGGACATCCTGTTCTACCACCACATGATTGTCTGGCTTGGTCACATTCCACAAAAAGCTGGCTTCTCCTGAGTGGCACTTGGCATTGTGCAGGGAAAGCCCCTCGGGGGTTTTTGCCAGGAAATTGCATCCTGTACATACAAAATTTGGGTCTTTACTAAAGTCTGTGTGTTCTGAGTTCATATGCCCCACAAACTGAGTCATGTCCTGGGACTTGAAATCACAGTTTTTACAGGAATACACATAGCCATCCAGAGTGCTCCGGTGCCCGTTTGCCAGGGCAGAACCATCAGTGCTGCTGGGGTTTGGGACTGCCTCACTGCTAGCATCAGGTGCCTCTGAAGGAAGATCCTGCTGGAGACCTTCAGACAAAGTGTCCACAGGCTGAGCCTCTGTGCTGGCACTCTGCAGCACCATAGTCTTAACTGGGATCATGCATGGGATAGTGGACTTCCTCTTGCTGGCCATGGTGGCACTAACTGTGGGTGATCAGCAGGCAAGAAGGCTGTGCAGTATAAACTCCAGTTACTCTATGAGAGCCTGAGAAGTGCTTCTAAGGGTGGCTTTATCAGTTATTTGCAGAAAGCCACTTTCCTTGTTAAGCCTGAGGAAAAAGAGAAAAAATATGATGACAATCTTGCAATCTCTGAATCTGTGTTTCTCAGGTCCCCAGTCACATACCCACTGCTTGCTTTCTATCTTATGGGTCTTTTCGTAAGAAGCTCATGTGCTTCTCAGCTGTGAGTTCTAAGGCAGAAGTTCCTTGGTAGCTGGGAAACAATGAGCTGGGATGTTCTGTACCATTTGATAAGCTTAAGTTATACAGTTTTTCTTTGTTTCTTTTATCCCCCTTATCTTTGCATTTAGGAAAGAAAGCCACCCTCACCCTCTTTGGACCTAAAAATTAATTCTGACCATTTGAACTGAAAACAAAAGACCCAGTGTACTTCCTATCTAAACATTTGGGCCAACAAGGATTTTTCTTTTCATAGTCTTCCCACATATAAGAATGTGACAACGCCTCTGTCTCCTTCAAACCAGGCCCAGAGACCAAGTCAATTTCAGTCAGGCCTGGCCTTTTCTGCCCATTGTCCTATCACCTGTATTCTCAACCAAAGTTGTGGTTCATGTACCTAGGACACTGTCAATTAGGTAAAGCCAGAGAGGGTCAGGATACCCACATAGACAGTTTGGGTATAGCAACTCACAGTGAGGCTTCATCTTGGATTCATGTAACTATTCACAAGCATGAACCTCCTTGTTTTGCATTTTTTTCATTTTTATTTCTTGTGTTCTTTTTTTGTTTGTTTATTTTGGTTTTTTGAGACAGGGTTTCTCTGTGTAGCTTTTGCTGTCCTGGAACCCACTTTGTAGACTAAGCTGAGCCTTTTTGTTCTTAAAAACAACAACAAAGCTACTATTAAATCTTTGATCTGCTTGAAATTAAACTGAGGGACTTACTCATATGTAAAATAACTGTAGTGGCTATTTCATGGGACACTCTGAGAAGGTGTTTTTGCCCTGTGACCCTGCCCTGTTAACAGAGTCTGCTGCCATCAAGGCCTCCTCTTGAGGAGGCACAGTCCTGTCTCTGGTACATAGTCTCTTGTTTCCAAATGTTTTCTCTTCCTACTAAACCTAGCTGTCATCTATATTATATTTTCTTTCTAAAACTCTGGCCTTTAAAATACACACATACACAACACACACACACACACACACACACACACACCATCATTAACTTCCTTTAGCATATGTTCCAGCTATAATGACAGTATAGTAATTGATTAAAATAAAATTAGTATCAGTGTTTGGATTTGATATAAAATGTGGAGAAAGTTTAAACATCTTGATTCAAATTCTTAGTAAACAAAAAGAATAAACTATTTTTTTAATTTCTAAATCTAGCCTGATGATCATGATAGTAAAAGTAACAGCTATTGAAAAGGCTATGATAAGATAAACACACACCCAGATCTAACCACTTGTCACTATTTCCACTACCACCCTACCAATATCAGGAACAAATTTACTGAATTTAACTACAAAGATACTAATAGCATGTGAAGTTTAAGAAAATAAAACTACCTAATAATAATTTGATACCCTTCTGTGTCTAAATATGCACATTTACAATCATAACAAACATATATATTTCATTTTCCTCACACTATCGTACATATTGTCATTGGCTTTCATGATTAAAATGTCTACTAATTGCCTAATAATGTATTGCATTATTATCCCTATTGAACCTCTTCCCACCCTTAGGGGTCACAATATAAGGAAAAACTCTGCTTATACAGGATACTTTTCCTTTCGTAAGTATTTCCTAGGGGGTAAATGCACACAAGTAGGTTTATTAGCCAAAAGTGCATAATTTCTAAGTTCCTTTAAATGGAATTCGCAAATACTTCTAAGTAAGTGCTTTATGTAAGAGCTAACTTAAAATGACACTCAATGATGCTTCTTTAGTGAGCACATCTGCTTTTTTATCAGTTATGAAAGGCCTCAGACAGAAGGAAAGTACAAGTGAAAGAAGAAAACAAAAGATCAACTGAGATTCACCAAAAGTAAAACCAGACTTCAAAGGTCACTATCAATAAAGTTAAAAGATGCGGCTGGAGATGGAGATGGTGTTAGAATGCTATCTTGACAGTTGTGAGAGGCTGAGTTTAAGCTCCAACCCAAAAAGGGGCTTTAAAAATCATATATCTGATATGATATACCTGGAATATATATGAAGATATTTTACAACTTAAGAAAAAGACCATCTAGTTAAAAATGAGTAAAAGATTTGGTCAGACTTTTCCCCAAAGACATACAAATGGATAAGTACATTTAAAAGTGTTCAACATTGCCAGACTTGGTGGTGCACATCTTTAATCCTAGCACTTGTGAAGCAGAGGCAGGCAGATCCCTATGAGTGCAAGGCCTACCTTGTCTACATAGTGAGTTTCATTCAGGACAGTCAGAGTTACATAGTGAGAACCTGTCTCAAAAAACAAAAACAAATAATAGCAATAAAATAATGATCACCATTGGTAGCTAAGGACACCTAAATCAAAACTACAATGAGATTCCTCTGCACCCTACCAGGACATCTACAATCACACTGCAGAGAACAAATACTGGTAAAAATGTGAAGAAACTGGAGCTTTTTCACTGTTACTGGTAGGAAAGTAAAATGGTGCAGCTACTTTGAACAAAAGATTCTAGCAGTTCTTCAAAAAGCTACATACTTAGTTGCCAAATTTACCTAGCAATTCCGATCCCGGGCAGATGCAAAAGAGAATGAACATCTTGCTCACACCGAAGCTTACACAACTTTATTATCAGCTCACCGTGGCATCATTTACAACAGTAACAGAAAAATAGGTAAATTGTGAAACATCTATCTAATAGAATATTCTTCTGCCATAAAGTCTAATGGCATCTTTCTGGTTTTTGTTTTGTTTTACTCTTTTGAAGCATAACTTGGGCTGGCATCAAGCTCATGATCTCATTCTCCTATGTATTTGTCACAACATCAGGCAGGGGGGAGGTTTAGTACATATTGAATCATGATAAACCAGAAAACATTATGCTAAGTGAAAGAAAGCATCCACAAAATGTTCCACAATTGTTGTTGGTTGTTTGTTTTCTCTTTATTCTTTTGGGAGGCCGCCACCCAGCTCCCAAATAAACACATAGAGGCTTATTATTACTTGTAAATGCCCGGCCTTAGCTTGGCTTATTTCTAGCCAGCTTTTCTTAATTTAAATTATCCTACCTACCTTTTGCCTCTGGGCTTTTCCCTTTTCTTATTTCTGTAATCTTACTTTCACTCTTACTCTGTGGCTGGCTGGGTGACTGGTCCCTTTTCTCACTCCTTGATCTCTCTTCTTTGCTCTTTTTCTCTTCTAATTTTTCTCTCTGCCTATCAGTCCCACCTATCCATTCTCTGCCTAGCCATAAGCTGTTCAGCTCTTTATTAGACCAACCAGGTGTTTTAAACAGGCAAAGTAACACAGCTCCAAAGAGTTAAATAAATGCGACATAAAATAATGCAACATATCTATCTTTGCATCATTAAAACAAATGTTCCACAGCATAAACAAAATGTATCACATCTTAAAATAATATTCCACAATGCATAATGCATTATTCCATCTATATATAACATCTACAAGAGTAAATCCACATAAGACAGAAAGTAGACTAGTTGCCAGGGGCTGAAGGGCAGGGAGAAATGGTAGCTGTCCATAGGTATGAAGTCTCTTGGGACTAGTGTACTAAACATACACTAGAAAACAAGGTAAAGTGGTTCTGGGTTGATGGCTCAGTGGTATGAGTGCTTACTAATCAGCATGAGGACCTAAGGTGGACCCCCAGCACCCAGGTAAAAAAGCTGTAAACACCTTTAAACCAAGCACTGAGGAGGGCAGAGACAAGAAAATCACTGGAGCTTGCTGGTTAGCCAGCCTAACTGAAAAACAGTGAGAAACTCTATCGTCTGGGGTAACAAAGGGTTTGTGTGCAAATGCATGAGTGTATGTGTGCATGTGTGCGTGTGTGAGGCAGACAGAAAGAGACAGAAGTAGGGACCAGAAAGTCACAGCCTTTACTTCTATAGAAAAGGGTCATCACCCACACTTTTTCTTTTTGGTTTTTCTAAACAGAGTTTCTCTGTATTGTTTTGGAGGCTGTCCTGGAACTTGCTCTGTAGACCAGGCTGGCCTCGAACTCACAGATCTGCCTGCCTCTGCCTCTCGAGTACCGGGATTAAAGGCATGTGCCACCAACGCCCGGCTCATCACCCACACTTTTAATGTTATAATTCAAGTGACAGTTTTATGACATTCTGTTATTACCATCTACCCAGAATAAGGGTGAATGTTAATGTTTGTTAAGCATCATGCTTGGCAGGAGAGAAAAAAGAAAGAAAGGGACCCATGAACTAGAAGATGCACCACCAGCCAGAAGAGAGCTTGGGATCACCACAAGCCCAGCCAGCTAGCAGAATTCAGGACCTTGCCTCCATGGCACAAATGCAAAGGCACAGGGCTAGTACTGCTATTTGTGATAGGGACTACCAGATTTCACTGAGAAGCAGGTAAATAATGTCTCCAGTGCTTTATTTATACTGATCAAAAGTAGAGGAAGATGAGAGAGAGAGAGAGAGAGAGAGAGAGAGAGAGAGAGAGAGAGAGAGAGAGAGAGTTCAAGCCCAAGGTTGACATTAGATATCTTCTTTGATCACCTTCTACCTTTATATACTGAGGCAGGATTCAACCAGTTTGCTCCAGGAATACCATTTCCATTTCCTGTATGATGTGATTACAGACAGCTGTCACACCCATCCAGCTTTCATGTGAACTAGGGGAATTTGAACTATTGGTCTTCATGCTTGCATGACAAACATTTTACCCAATAAGAAATCTGGGTAAGACTGGATATATCAGCAACACACAGCCTGGTCTCTACACAGGGAATTCTAAGACAGCCAGGACTACACATAGAGACCCTGTCTCCAAGAAGAGAGGGGTTGCTTACAAGATCTACACAAGTTCAAGCAAGACAAAATCCCAGCACAGAGAAGGGAAAGTGAGCACAAAAATCCTA